ATATGTATGTATGTTTGTATATACATATATACAAAGCCACCACTGAGCCATATTCCCCGTAACCTTTTTCCAAGTATGTTCATTGTTTCCAAAACAATTGCATATCAACAGAGGGAAACAACACAGCTGTCTTCTAGTGGGATCCAGGCCACCGTCAATCGAACTAGGCTACAGCGTGTGCTGGACTCTTTTCTGCTGGAGTAACATTGTGTAGATTGCTCTTGGGAGATGTGTAGGTGCCTCATATTACGCTGCGAATATACCAACAGTAGAATGCACAACCAGTCCAACAAAGCAATATTTTGTCTGGGACTGGGCTGCGAACAGGATGGTGGTGACTTCGGATCCAGCCAGTTAAGAGCGAATAATAAAATTTAACCCATCACATTGAATCAAGTACCGGCAATACATGAGATAAATTACACCATATGAGTATATTTTCGTAACATTGCCAATATATCGTTCTACTGCGTCGCGTGTTTTCCTTCAGATATCTGACCATGCACAATAGACAATCATCATGCGCGAATGTCTCATTGAAACTTCTGAAGTTTAAGATTGAATAACTCGAGGCGATGTACCGCAAATTGGTTCTGCACGCCAGTACGCGACATTATACCTATAGCATCCCTCGCTTATAACGCTGAGATTATTGCGGGTAATTAATTTGTACTCAGTCATCATCCCTTTCGCAGATGCTATTCGCAAAGCAACGTGTAGCTAGGAAAGCGGATCTATTGAAGTATTAATAACAATACGAAGCTTGACCTCGAACCCTCCCTAGTGGAGTTTGAATGCCACGTTGTGCTCTAGGCGCATTTCATTTTCAGACGCATTTCTATTTTTAACCCCTGCAAGCGATTAAAAATCGGTCAGTTGTTGAATGAATGTCCTCTGAAGTGATGAGTAGGAATTCGGAGGCATCGAGAGAGGACGTAGGTTCCGAATTCATATTTAACCCTTCGTAAAAGTATCGAAAACCAACATGTGGTATACAATCTATACCAACCAAGATACTATGTCAGTGTGGCCTGTATGTATCGATGCAGAAACTCCTGCCTCGTTTGATAGATAGCTGGTTGTTTGATTCCTGATTCCGCTACGTGTTCTGTACTCGCCATTGAGTTTGTAGATACGATGTTGTGCAAGTATAGTATACAAGTATAATTCTAGCTTAGAATACGGATATTCTCAAATCCCAACTTTATGCGTTTCTCAAGTGTTGCGACTACATGAAATACGACCAAATGTGTATATAGGACGAATCGGAAAAAAATTCAAAGCATATTTAATATTTATTTGTCGCACTTTTCCTGCCGTGACAATGATATGCTGTTTTTATCTGTTTCTACTACCTAGTGACCATTAATTTTCCGCGCGTGTCTGCGTGTCAATTTAATGTGTACATCGGAATAGAGGTGTATGTATATAACATCCCAAAAACTTCAAAGTATTATACACCACTTATCTATATGGACAATATTTCGTATCGTATGAGGCTCCAAAGTACATAAGCTGTTACCAACTGTGTACAGTAATCATACATTCTAGAGATATTGGTGAGCAGCACTGCCGTAATTTGCAATCAGCCAACACCCTCCATCATTAAACGTATTCTCTATTCCTAATTCGGATCAGATGATTTCAAAAGGAACTTTCATAGGTGCACCACTGTTGCTGCCTACGACGGCAATCACGAACTCTAATTTTCATACTTCTCAAATACCCGCTCCCGAAGAATAGGAAAATCTGACGACTTCGGCGACCATAGTACGTTGATGATTATTTACGTCTTAAATTAAACGTGTGACCGCTATTGTGGTTCGTGTTGATGAACCCATCTTGTTTGTGACTAGAGAGCTTAGCAACACATACATATGTATCGAACGACACATATATCCAAGTATGGCACCTACACAGTCTACTATAGATTAACTAACTATGCTAGATGTTCTGGCACATCTACTATGACTGGTGTACAAATGCTGGTGTATAAATGCTAGACTTGTTGTTCTTTTTTTTAGAGAGCTATGGTACTGTGTGTCCAATTGTCCTAAGCTATACTATCATTGAATCAGTTATGTCTAGCACAGTCAGTGCAGAGTAGCGATGCTCCTCTATATCCAGGATTCCAAATTTCCAGGTCCAGGTGCACAAAATCAAATACCATGCATTCATCAACAACTTTTAGACTATAGTTGTAGTAGAACTATTTCATGCAAAAAGCCGCAAAAAGCCGCGAGGATTTGTTCAATGAATCAATTTGACATTTATTTTAGATTCAATGTTCATATTCACATACATAGTCTTCCTAAAAAACAGTTGCTAACTTGCTAAATAATTATTTAGATCGACAGTTCGACATCAGTGAGCTCCGGTTGGCAACAAGACAGCTCTGACTCTTTGAGCCACGATGCCAACGAATGAACTTCAATGAACTTCGATGAAGTCTTCAAGTCGAATTGTCGATAAAAATTCTTGACACTTCCCTTTTTTTTTTGGCAAAACATAGTTAGAGTCCACTTTTGGTTGTCTTGTTTTTCCACTGGTTAGATTATGTTCTCAGGAATTTTAGTGCGTGTGACAGTTGAGAATTGAGAGAAATCATTCAAATTTATTAGAAAGCTGCAAAAGGCTCAAAGCTGAAGCTCCCATCAATCCTGATCACTGCTGAGACTGTATTTAAATATTTCTGTAAATAATAGTGCCGGTCGCCTGGCCTCTCTGGTAAATGGCATTGTTTCTAAATAGAAAAATATGTCGCAAACTCTCAGGCCTCAGCGTCGATCAACATATTACTTTTTAGTTTTTTATTGTTTTGTTTTTTTTAATGTCTGTCGTGACTTGTGAGTTGTAAGTTAACTCTTTTTGAAGAAGAAAAAAAGTTGCTATTTAGTCGTGGGAGTGTTTTCAACTCGAAATAAAAACATAAATTTTAAAAAACATGTTTAGAATTGTCCGAGTCGTTATCGCTTACCAGTGCAGGCCAGATATTATTTACATAAAAAAATTGTGCACAAAAAGGAATGCGTTTCTATAACGTTTTATAAAGAACCGTTGTGGGGATAAGAAAAAGTTGGTTTTATAAAACTTTTATATAAATATTTATACATAAATATATATAAATATAAATATTTATATTATATATATATATATGTAAATATAAATGTACCCATTGTATACAAGGTTGTATGTCCTCACACCACAACCTTCCCCAGAGAGAGCGGAGGTGATCAACAACATTAGGTGTGTTACTCTTTTAGTCCTGGAAAACAGGAGGTGCATTCGGGCTTGTTGAGTATTATTGTTACATTGTATGGTTGCGTGAGGGCAATCTCGACTTAATACCATCGACCACTCTGTATTGGGTCAGCCACAGAAATTATTCTATCCATAGACATGATCACGTCGATACAATTGCTTTCGCATATATCGGGCATCTATACACGTGGGAGCATCGACTTCACTTACTCTCCATCTGATACACTGCTTGGGAAAAGGATAAGTACACACTGACACTATACTATTCATAGACATTATTCTATTGACAGACGCTATACTATTCATAGACATTATTCTATTGACAGACACTATACCATCAGTCTGAGTAATTTCACATGTATTATATATATCCATACAGAAACATTGGCTTCATAAATGCCACATGGCATGGGTCAAGGGCGGAAACTCTCAGACACTAGAACAATGCAATACATCGACATCGTTATTCGGTTCTTTAGTGTAAATCATATATTTTACGCTTAGGTCAGGTGCCTATTTAGGAGCATTGGCTCCACGTTTTCTTTCAGCCAAAATCCATTGTTACAATTTGCCGACGATTCGTAGATCGCGGCCATCGAATATACCACTACGTGTGCCAATTATTCTGTAGACTGTGTTTCAATTAAATATCTTCCGATGACATTGCTGACCAACTCTGGTAAAGTTTGTTTTAAGTTGCGATTATTGATGTCTGAGATTAATCGCACACATACGATATCTTACATACAGGGGACAGCTTTAAGACTAACCTTCTCCTTTTCATGCACACCAAATACACCTATAACGCAACAGCAAATATGACAGCGGAGAAGGAGACTCGACGATCTCATCAGGTTTTAATGAAGGGAGACCTCGTGAAACTCGGCTCAGGGATCTTCAGTGGGTGGCAAAAGAGATTCTTTGTTTTATTTGCTGATGGCCGCCTCTGCTACTTCAAGAAGTTATCAGATTTTGTATGTCTTATTCGTCTTTTTTTCTAGTACGTGTGCCGCATAATAAAAGTTTATAGGTAAATTAGTACAGAAGCCTAACACCACACACGTGCGTCGCATGACGAACAATACGTGCTGTATACCGGGAAATTTAGGCTCGTATATCAGTAACAGTTGGTGCTGATGACTGTATGTTAAAAAGATTGGATTTGTATCTGTTGTGCTTCTTGCTGACTTTTCATCTACATTCCATGGCCAAGTCACTCCAGCATGCTCTAGACTGTGCCGTATATCCATTGCTTGATATGAAGAGGATACTTCGGGCATTTGAGTATAATCCCAACCAGTACTCTATTGTGATTGATCCCGATCTGTTGTTGCTTATATTGGTTGAACTTGTATTCATTTGACCGTAAACAGGAAGCAGGAGAGGAGGCCAATGCTGAAATCAACCTCAAATACTACAATGCCGTGTCTGATATCACTGTACTCGAGTCCAATAGGAAGAATGTATTCAAGGTAGTCTAGCGTTACTACGTGGCTCGCGGTTTTGCATCGCAACTTAATAGGCTATTCAAAATGTACGCCAGAGTACCACATGGCCTATGTCAGGAGCTTATGTCAGGAGATGACGCTTCACTATACATACGCTTAAATGCCAGTTATATATTTGTGTGTGCGTGTTTAGATATGTGCACTTTTTTGGATCCTCGTATACATTTCTGCGTTCATTTGATCTCATCATTTGCGTTTCGGGCCAACGTAAAAAAAACTTAGTACACACTCTCCAATACAAGCAGAAGTTGCAGTATTGCTTGCATGCATACAAGCCAGCATATATGCTAAAATATATGCATACACACACTCATGCACGCCTCCGTGCGCATCGACAAGTGTGAACACAAATTTATATTACATACACTCGTACCCATTCATGTCGGGTACATACGTTCAGAAAGCCGCACCGTTGCTAAGCAAAGTATATGGACTAACACTAATCATAACCCTCCTTCTCCAATCTGGGTGAGCAGTTGACCCCCAAACCCATGGACTTCAATTACTCGGACATCAGGGAATTCCACTTTGCAGCGGAGACTGTGACAGACATGGACATGTGGATAGGCTCGATGTATCTAATGATTGAGAAATATCAAGACTTAAAGGTAACACATCCCCTAGAGGCTCGTTGTAGAACACACATACCATTGACTCAAAAGTAATACACAATCATTGGTCTAGGCTTGGTGTGTTCCCATCACAAAGATGTCAAGACATACTTAAAGGAAACACAATCCTTCCCACCGTCTTCGTCTGTGTTCATTGCGATCCGACACGGTGAGTCTCTCAGAACGCCTGGATGGACAGTATATGGTGCATGCGCTCTCAGGCAGTTAACTGATGTACTCTATAGTGTGACGCTATTTGACTGACTAACGACGTTCTTGCAGTCTGGGACAGTCGCAGTATCTATGGGGCGTTCGTGTGCGACCAATCTCAACTCATGTGCTAGTTCACGTACACGTACATGGAACATATATATATATATATATATATATATATATATATGGTCGATTTGCATGCACAGGTTAGTAGTATTAGACTACACCTGTCGTTCAGTTTCACATAATCACATACACTGACCTTGACATCATCCACCACCCCAAATTGCGCAGCTAAAGATAAACAAGACCGGACAAGTCACTGCCGAATCCTTCGACAGCGTAGAGATAGTCGGGGCATAAGGAGCCCACATACACACACTTACAGACATACATATATACATACATATGTATTTTATTCACTGCCAAGCCACCTCGTAATCAGCTCTGGATTGTATCCGTGCCGTTCTCTAAAGGATGGCGTGATTTGCGCACTCACAGTCGTGCAACTTGCCTTCAACGAATGGATCTGATTTTAGGACCCAAATATAATATGTGATATCGTAATGTCGATCAAACGAAGCTATACAAGACGGTCGGCCTCGAAAAGAGTCGCCGCAAACCGGTTTAAAACAATAAAGCCACAGCCATGCATGATATGAAAGTGACAATGTATATAGTATATATGTAGATGTGGTGGCCACATCTAGTCAACCATTGTCAACCATTGGAACCCGATGTCGTTTGGTGTATCTACATGCACGTCAGGTACGGAGTGAAGATTGAGTCGAGCACCAGGCCATGAAGGCATGCATAAACTGCTGATGATACATTTTTGGTTGTGTTATACATTGGCGAGTCTACGCGGTGAAGCACTACAACAACTCTGCAAGCAATTATATGGTGCATCACTGGTGTATTAGACAATACGATAACCCAGGATTTCTACCCCGTGACGTTCAAATTGTCAAAAAGTAAT